GGCATGTAAGCAGGAGCCAGGAAGATTGAGATGTGGTCTGACAGTCCTAGGTGGGGGCGGGGTTCGGCTTTGTATGCATCTTTTACGTTCGTGCTTATTAACACATCCTCAAAATCCTGTTCTGTCTGATCAATTTTAATAACTTTTATTTTACATTAAATGACTAAATAGCCACTGAGAGTAAATTTCAGTATAGTAGGTGTTTATCAGATAGCGCTGTAACCAAATTCAAATACTTTTCAATTGTTATTTTCCTCTGTCTTGCAGAGTAATGCAGTAGAGAACAGTCACTTAAGCTGATCTGGTTGATAAATTTACAACTTCAATGCAAACTTTACTTGATAAAATTGCTCCGCTGAAAAAGAAAGTAATCAATCAGAGGAAGCTGGCTTCTGAGTACAAACCGGATTCCAAAAAAGTTGGGACATTAAACAAATTGTGAATAAAAACTGAATGCAATGATGTGGAGGTGCCAACATCTAATATTTTATTCAGAATAGAACACAAATCACAGATCAAAAGTTTAAACTGAGAGAATGTATCATTTTAAGGGGAAAATCTGTTGTTTCCAAATTTCATGGCGTCAACAAATCCCAAAAAAGTTGGGACAAGTCCATTTTTACCACTGTGTGGCATCCCCCCTTCTTCTTACAACACTCAACAGACGTCTGGAGACAGAAGAGACCAGTTTCTCAAGTTTAGAAATAGGAATGCTCTCCCATTCATGTCTAATACAGGCCTCTAACTGTTCAATCGTCTTGGGCCTTCTTTGTCGCACCTTCCTCTTTATGATGCGCCAAATGTTCTATAGGTGAAAGATCTGGACTGCAGGCTGGCCATTTCAGTACCTGGATCCTTCTCCTACGTAGCCATGATGTTGTGATTGCTGCAGAATGTGGTCTGGCATTATTGTGTTGAAAAATGCAGGGTCATCCCTGAAAGAGATGACGTCTAGATGGGAGCATATGTTGTTCTAGAACCTGAACATAGTTCTCTGCATTAATGGTGCCTTTCCAGACATGCAAGCTGCCCATGCCACAAGCGCTCATGCAACCCCATACCATCAGTGATGCAGGCTTCTGAACGGAGCATTGATAACAACTTGGGCTATCCTTGTCCTCTCTGGTCCAGATGACATGGCGTCCCAGTGTTCCATAAAGAACTTCAAATCGTGACTCATCTGACCACAGAACAGTCTTCCATTTTGCCACACACCATTTTAAATGACCCCTGGCCCAGTGCAAACGTCTGAGCTTGTGGAGCTTGCTTAGAAATGGCTTCCTCTTTGCACTGTAGAGTTTCAGCTGGAAACGGCGGATGGCACGGTGGATTGTGTTCACTGACAATGCTTTCTGGAAGTATTCCTGAGCCCATTCTGTTATTTCCTTGACAGTGGCATTCCTGTTTGAGGTGCAGTGACGTTTAAGGGCCCGGAGATCACGAGCATCCAGTAGAGTTTTACGGCCTTGACCCTTACACACAGCAATTGTTCCAGATTCTCTGAATCTTTTGATGATGTTATGCACGGTTGATGATGATAACTTAAAAGTCTTTGCTATTTTACGCTGGATAACACCATTCTGGTATTGCTGCACTATCTTTCTGCGCAACAATGGTGGAATTGGTGATCCTCTTACCATCTTGGCTTCTGAGAGACACTGACACTCTGAGAAGCTCTTTTTATACCCAATCAAGTTGTCAATTGACCTAATTAGTGTTAATTGGTCTTCCAGCTGTTCGTTATATGCTCAATTTCCTTTTTCCAGCCACTTATTGCTACTTGTCCCAACTTTTTTGGGATTTGTTGACAATGTGAAATTTTGAATCAACATATTTTTCTTTAAAATGTTACATTTACTCAGATTAAACTTTTGATCTGTCATCTATGTTACATTACGAATAAAATATTGACATTTGCCATCTCCACATCATTGCATTCAGTTTTTATTCACAATTTGTTTAGTGTCCCAACTTTTTTGGAATCCGGTTTGTACTTTAAAACAGTCATTTAGAAAGCTGGAAAGAAAATGGCGCCCCACTAATGTTGATGAATTTTATTTATCTTGGAGAGAAAGCCTGCTAAAGTATAAGAAAGCTCTCTGTAAAGCTAGAACTGTATATTATGCATCTTTAATAGAAGATAATAGAATAGAGAATAATTTTATTTAACTTGTTCCAGTGATCGACTTGGGACCTGTCCAAGGTGTACCCCGCCTCTCGCACAGTGATAGCTGGACATGGGCACCAGTGACCACCGCAACATGAAAAGGAACAAGCGGGTAAAAAATAAGGGATGGATGGATGGATAGATTGTCAAAAGTTCAACAAAGCGCTCTTAAAGGCTCTGGGTGGTAAGAAAGAACTTCCAGATGACTGGGCTAGAGTTGTGAAAGCTTAGACAAGAGGTGACTATTTGTGAGCAGCAGTATGGTTTCATGCTAAGAAACAGCACCACAGATGCCATTTTTGCTTTGAAGATTCTGATGGAGAAGTACAGAGAGGGTCAGAAAGAACTCCATTGTGTTATTGTGGATTTAGAAAAAGCATATGACAGATTGCTGACTCTGCTGAGAGGGGGAGGTGTGGTATTATATGAGGAAATCGGGAGTGGCAGAGAAGTATGTTAGACTGGTACAGTACATGTATGAGGACAGCAGGACATGTTAGACTGGTACAGGACATGTTAGACTGGTACGGGACATGTTAGACTGGTACAGGACATGTTAGACTGGTACAGGACATGTATGAGGACAGCAGGACATGTTAGAATGGTACAGGACATGTATGGGGACAACAGGACAGTGGTGAGATGTGTTGTAGAAGTGACAGCTTCAAGGTGGAGGTGGGATTGCATCAAGGATCGGCTCTGAGTCCCTTCTTGTTTGCTCTGGTGATGAAACGACTAACAGATGAGGTCAGGCAGGAATCCCCATGGACAATGATGTTTACAGATGATGTTGTGATCTGTGGTGAGAGCAGGGAACAGGTGGAAGACAACTTGGAGAGGTGGAGGCATGCACTTGAAAGAAGAGGAATGAAAATCAGCCTTAGTAAGACAGAGTACAAGTGTGTGAATTAGAGCGAGGCCGGTGGAACAGTGAGGCTACAAGGAGCAGAGGTCACAAAGGTGCAGGATTTCAAGTAATTAGGGTCCACTGTCCAGGAAAATGGAGAGTGTGGTAAAGAGGTGAAGAAGAGTGTCCAGGTAGAATGAAGTGAATGGAGAAAAGTTCCAGGAGTAATTTGTGACAAAATGGTGTCAGCAAAGGTCAAAGGAAAAGTTTGCAAGACAGTGGTGAGACCATCTATGCTGTATGGTCAGGAGACAGAGACATGGACAAAAAGACAGGAGACAGAACTGGAAGTGACAAAAATGAAGATGTTGAGGTTCTCATTAGGAGTGACAAGGATGGATAAGATTAGGAATGAGATCATCAGAGGTACAGCACAAGTTGAACAACTGGGAGATAAAGTTAGAGGGGCCAGACTGAGATGGTTTGGACATGTCCAGAGGAGGGACAGTGGTTTGGACAAGTCCAGAGGAGGGACAGTGGTTATATTGGTAGAAGGACGTTAGAAATGCATCTGCCAGGAAAAAGACAAAGAGGAGATATATGGATGCAGTTAGAGAGGACATGGAGGTAGTTGGAGTGAGGACAGAGGATGCAGAGGACAGAGTGAGATGGAGGAGGAGGACTTGCTATGGAGATCACTGAAGAGGGAAAAGCCTAAAGAAGTAGTGACAGTGAAGATGATGATAACCATGGTGAAGGTAGAGTGATGAGGGTGCAGCTCAGTTGGCTGTTCTTCATGGTTGCTTAAACTGTGTGTTGCTGTCTCCTCCCAGTGGACAAACTGCTGAACTGTAGACTGAAAAGCGCCTCAAAGATTCTGATCGCTCAGATGAGGCCCAGCAATCGCTTTATGAGAGAGTAATGACGATGATGATGGGGATAATGAAAATGATTAGGGGTTGAAAGACTACATCATTTTTAAACTCGACATTAACATAATAAAACTTGAGTAGAAATTGAGTACTTGATGACATCATAGGATCTAAAGATACAAAAATAAATAAATAAATAAATCCGCAAAAAAGGTCATTATTTACAAAAAAAGACCAACAAAACATTGGGAGCATATATTATGCGCCTACCATTTATCATACAGCAAAGAAGTCACAGGAATAACTAAACTATTAGTTATTATTATTAAGCTGCAAACGTGAAAAAACGGGCGGCACGTCAAAAACGAAACTAAAATCAGTGGGGGGTTCGACCACCCTACACCACCGCCAGCTGTGGTGCGCATTAAGTTTAGTTTTAGAGATTAATATGTTTTTAAGTTTTTTTATAGGTTTAGAGATTAATATTTTTTGCTTTTTGTTTGTGAAACAAGGTCAGAGGAAGCTGGTTCTGGTTCGGTCTTTGGACCCGGTGTTACACCATATTCTGTGACCTGCAACAGTATATGCAACACCACCCTCTACGGTCACAATATACGGTGGTCACAAAATATGGTGTAACACCGGTTCGTAATGCGCTCCAAACAGTCAGGAAGTTGTTTCACTTTCTGTTTCCTTACGGTAGTTGAACCAGAAGATTCATCTTTAGTGAAATATTTCCAGACTATTGATGCATTTCTACCTGTTTCACAAAACTGGGTCTGCTCTGCTCCATCCATCTGCTTGGAGGAATCCAATTTGTAACCCGCGCCTGGTGCAGATCACGTGACACGTGACACAATGACATAACGGCGGCATAATGACGTCACCACGAATACTCAACGTGAAATTAAAAACCTCGATAGGTGTCCTAGGAATCGATGTGTAGATTACTCGAGTAGTCTGTTAAAGCCCTAGTGATGATGATGGTGATTATAATAATGATGATAAAAGTGATGATATTAAAATTGATGATGATTATTATAAAAGTGATGATAATGATGATGAAGACAACAAAAGAAAAATGAACAATGTTATAGGTTGACCTGTGCTGACTGGTTGGTCAATCCAGTTCCTTCTAAGTCCAGAACCTCCAGTGTTCTGCTAGATGCCACGGAGACAGCCAGCATGGCTGCAATTTGATCACCTTGAGACAGAACCAGAACCAGGGAAATGATTAGACTCAGAACCAGAACAGGAAGTGTATTGTTGTTATGGCGATGGTGCTGTTGATACCCAGTGGGTTGTAGTCCAGGTTCAGAACCCGGAGCTGTGAGCTGTGAGCCACTGCAATGGAGAGCCGAGCCCAGCCTTTGGAGCTGATTCTTGGGTTGGCGCTTAGAGTCAGCTCCCTCAGACCTGTAAACACACACAACGATAATGAAGAACCTGGCATCACCGTGATGAACACATGAGGCTCAGGTGATGACCAGAAGCCTCATGTACAAATGGTGCAGACACACAAAAATGTGACATACACCATTTTCCACTTCATATGCTAATTCTAGCAAAAGGCCACATGTAATGTAACTTTAGCAGAAAGCAGGAACTCTCAAATCAAAAAGTATTTGGACTCACTTAACATCTTACCTCCCCTCCAAACGGGTTTCAGGAAACAACATAGCACAAGGACTGCTTCACTGAAGGTGATGCTAAGGATTATTACGCTGCACTTTTCTTAGACTTGTCTAAAGCTTTTGACACTGTGGATCATAACATATTGTGTCATAAGTTCTCAAAAATTGGTTTCTCAGATCACACCATTGGTTGGTTCTCCAACTATCTCTCAGATCGGAGGCAATGTGTTCAATATACTGGTATTTCCTCCAGTTATTTAACAGTCAGCAATGGTGTACCACAAGGCTCAGTCTTAGGACCCACCCTCTTTACAATCTACACAGGTAATGTAGGTCAGAGCATCCTTGATGCATCCACTTCTATGCTGATGACACAGTTGTTTGTTGTCGAGCTAAAACAGTTGCTAAGGCTTTTCAGCTTTTGCAATCTGCCTTTGACATCATCCAGTCAGATTTGTTCCGTCTCAAATTTGTCCTAAATGCCAATAAAACCTAAGGGATGCTTTTTTCAAACAGGAAGTTGGTCCCAGCAGTTCTTCCTCTGATTTTATCCTCAAATTGTGTCCCTGTTGAGTTTGTAGATTCCTATAAATATATGGGTATCTTGGTCGACTCGCATCTCTCTTTTAAGCTTCTCATGGAAAACCTAGTAAGGAAACTGAAAGTTAAACTGGGTTTCTTTTTCAGAAATAGATCCCGTCTAACTCTGAATGCTAGGAAATGCCTTGCAACTACAACTTTCCTTCCCTCCATTGACTACGGTGATATTATCTACATGAACACTCCTACAAGCACCCTGCAGGTGCTGGATGCTGTCCATCATGATGCATTAAAATTAATAACTGGCTGTAACTACCATACCCACCACTGCACCATGTATTCACTGGTTAACTGGACATCATCATTAACCTGACACAGACTCTCTCATTGGTACATTTTCATCTTTATATCACTTCTTGGTCTGCTGCCTTCATACATCTCCTCCTACATGTCTCTGTGCGAGTGCAGCTACAGCGTGCACTCTCAGGACATTATTACCTGCAGTGTTCCCTCAGTGAGGACTGAACTAGGCAAAAGGGCCTTCTCCTACTCCGCTCCTGTTTCCTGGAATATCTTGCAAAGAGATCTGAAGCTCTCGACCTTGACCTCTCTAAGTGGCTTCAAACATTTGCTAAGTTCCTGGCAAGAACCAATGCAGACATGTTCCTGTTTTTATTTTTCTACACCACCTTACAATCTAGCTGTTGTTGTCATCACTTTTTGTAAAGAAATCAGGTCTCTCTTGTAAATGAGTCCCCAAAGCTCAATGGGATTAACCTGTCTAAATAAAGCTTGAATGAATGAATTTAAGCTCTCCAGGAGGATCAGTAGAAACAGCATCTGAGTTCAGTTTGAGCTTCACGGCTATGAATACTTACATTAATGTGATTTTTTAGTTTTCTATTTTTAATTACCAAAAAAAAAAACTGATTGTCCACAAATGTCCCAGAGGGTCTCTGTGTCCCAGAGTGTCTCTGAGTGTCCCCAAGCATATCTGAGCTCCCTGAGTTACTCTGAGTGTCCTAGAATGTCTCTGAATGTCCCTGAGCATCTCTGAGTGTCTTCGAGTGTGTCTGAGTTTCCCCAAGTGTCCCTGAGGGGTCTCTGAGTATCTCTGAGTGTCTCCAAGCAATTGGTTGCCGTCACAGGGTCAGCCCTCAACTGGTTCAGAACCTACCTCACTGACAGATCCTTTTGTGTCTCCATCAAGGATTTTAGTTCTGCAGAGGCAGAGCTTAAATGGGGGGTTCCGCAGGGGTCCATCCTGGGTCCCCTCCTCTTCTCTTTATACCTGCTGCCGCTTGGTGCTATTTTTCGTAAACACAACATGCCCTTCCACTTCTATGGCGATGACTGTCAAATTTACTTCCCCCTAAGACACAATGGTACATGCTCTATTCAACCGCTGCTCGACTGCCTGGCTGACATCAGGGACTGGACGGCTTTAAACTTCTTAAGTTTCAATGAAAAGAAGCCTGAAGTCATACTGTTCCCTCCCAACGACACGATCACAAACCACTGCATCGACCTCTCCACTCTAACCCTGGCAGAAAAACAAAGAGTCACTAATCTGGGAGTGATAATGGACCCTTCCCTGAAACTTAATCATGTAAACATGATTGTTAAATCATGTTTCTTCCAACTGAGGCGGCTGTCTAAACTGAAGCCCATATTGTCCAAAAATAACCTGGAGACAGTAATACATGCATTCATTACATCAAGGCTTGATTACTGCAATTCACTCCTGTTTGGTATCAGTCAATTCAATTCAATTCAATTCAAAAATACTTTATAATCCCAAAGGGAAATTATTTGTTGTTGTAACTCATTATCCTCATTTTATAAAGAGATGTTATAGATACTGATGGCTGTAGACAGGAAGGATCTCTTGTAAAGGTCCATCCCACAGTGGATCCTAAGAAACTGGCTGCAGATGCCGTCCGATCCATCCACCCAGACTCGGCTGGCCTCTCAGTTCCCCCGGTCTGTAGGATCGCCTGGATGTCGAGCAGAACTCCTCCCAGAGCAATGGCCACTCCTCCCAGCAGTCTGCCGAGCTCCTCATTGCTGCGGACAGCCGGCTGCAGGTGTCGGGTGTCGGGGGACAATCTTGTCCTTCTGCTGTCATGAGCCATGTTTCCTGCTAGTTCCAGGATCTCAGTGGTCAGACACTCGAGCACAGCTGGCAGGTAGATGAGAATGTGTTCGCAGAACATCCTTTTCAACTCATTTGAGATTTGGGGCTGTAGTTGAGATATTATTTGAGCTTTTGAGATGTTAATCAGCTGCTGTTGGTTGTAGAAAACTGCCTTGTTGCCATGGTTACACATCATAACAAATGTCCAAAACTAAAACAGTTTCAGTAAAAATCCTTCCAGCTGCACAGCATCTGATACCAGAGGAAACAATCATCCAAAAAATATGATTTACATCCAGAAAAAGAGGAATTAAAGTTTCCTAAAGCAAAATCTCAGAATGAAAGTAACAGAGCTGCTCCAACATGCAGCCACCTTGAGCGGCGCAATTCTAGAACAAACCTCAATTGTCAAAAAGTCAAACCTCCATTGCACGACTACAACTGGTCCAGAATGCAGCAGCCCGATTTTTAACCAGTACAGGCAAAAGAGAGCACATTACACCAGTTTTGGCCTCCCTGCAATGGTTACTGGTTCACTTTCGAATCCAGTTGAAAATACTGATGTATGTCTACAAATCACTGAACAGTTTCGCACCCCCTCAATCTCTCTGATCTGCTACAACCGTATGTCCCACCACGTTCCCTGAGGTCAGCGGACCAGTGTCTCCTCACAGTTCCAGGAACTCGTCTTAAGCGCAGAGGTGACGGGGCCTTCTCTGTAGCAGGACCAAGACTCTGGAACGAGTTACCTCTGCTTGTCAGACAGGCCCCCATCCCTCTCGGTTTTCAAGTCCCATTTAAAAACTCACTACTATTCAGTAGCTTTCAACACCAGATGATCTGTGTTTTGATCCTGTATGCTCCACACTGGTTTGTCGTCATTTTCTGCATCGTTTTTATGTCTGTGTTCTGATTTGCCTCATTTTGTGTTTTGCTTTGTGTGTTACCTGTTGTTTTGTCTGTACAGCACTTTGGTTGGCCTTGTAGCTGTTTTAAGTGCTCTATAAATAAAGTGGTATGGTATGGTATGGTATGGTATGGTATGGTATGGTATGGTATTCTGGGTCTGAACATAATGTGATGAAGCTGAGCCTGAACACCTGCTGATGTCTTCAATAAATCAGTATCTTCTGACTGACAGGAGAACTGGAGCTGAGCAGGTGTGTCAGATGACACCAGGGTTACAGGTGTGACCACAGCTCATTCATGGTGTTGCTCACATAACCACACTGCTAAAGTAAAAACAATAATAATATTAATATAATCTACAGTCAACAGTCTGAACAACAGCCTGAAAAGTAAGCCTCAGACCAAGAGTTGTTGTGAAAAAGAGTATTAAAAACCTTCCTGAACAGAGAGCAACAGACGGGTCTTGTGACCACTCATTAATTTTGTGTAGCAGATATAAGTTAAATCACCATTCTTCTTTTTTATTGACAAACAAACAAAACTTAAGTCCAAGACCAAAGTTCATGCTCAATAATCCAGGTAAAAATCCAATAGTGTTCAATCAGGTCATCTGGACGGTTTCTTTTTTTTGTGTTTTACTGAGACGTTTCATCCTTCATTTGAAAGACTTCTTCAATCTGCGGAGTCACCCACAAACTGAGTCCCACCAGTTAACGTTTCATGGTAAGGTGTGTTGTCACTTCCTGTTTGAGCTGCTGGTAGCTGCAGTAATTTATTCACTTAAAGAATTGTTTAATTTTCTGGATATACTTTTAGACAGTTTTTCCTCACTAATGCATTAACACTTTTTATCAGCTTGTTTCTACCACTGCGTTGTGTTCGAGGCACCGTTTATCTTTTAACACTTCTTGGTTTTATTCGTGTGTTTGGGTCTGCTAGCTCTAGCTAGCTTTAGCTTAGCATGGCTTCTGGTTTCCAAGCATCTCCTGTCCTCACTTCCTGTGTGTGTCAGATGTTTAGCTGTACAGTATCTCTACTTCCTTTAGCAGTAATGTTATGTGTAATTAATGCAGTCTTGTGGTAGCTTTGGAGACAAGACTGTCAGAATTAGAAGTTCTGCTCTTTGCTGTTGAAAAACTATTAAATATAGCCTATATGTAAGTGCTATGTGTTGTCATCATTATATGTTTCCATACAATGACAAAATTAGTTCTCTGCATTTAACCCATCACACCTGAGATACACCCAGGTGGAGCAGTGGGCAGCTATGTAAGTGCCCAGGGAGCAGTTAGGGATTGGTTGTCTTGCTCGAGGACACCACGGCATGTGGGAATGGCAGGAAGTCAAACCACAACTTTCTGGTCCCAAGTTGGCTGCCCTACCAACACCATCAGCCCCTATTAGCCCCCATTAGCTAACTAGGTTATCTTAAGGGAGTGTGGAGCCACCAAGAGTAGCTCAAGTTAGCAGTCCTACAGCAGACCCTGAACAGCCGGGAACCCAGGCCGGCTGGGTGGCAGAATCTAGACTCATGAATCTCGAACTAGAATAATCACTGTGAAAAACCATATCATGTTGCTGCTGATCTGTTTCATGTTGCTGCTGATCTGTTTCAATGTTGATGTGTTCATGCGTGCACATCTGCTCACAGACTCATGTTCATGTTTGTGCTGATGTTCAATGTTTTATGTTATGAGTGCTTAGTGTATATTTAGTTGATGTTTTTCTTAGTTCATATCTTAGATGTCATTACTGTTTTTCTTATACATTTTATTGTTGGATGTAACTGGGACCCTGCGTACATAATTTCGCTCCACCACATGTACCACATGAGGTGCGAATGACAATAAAGAAACTCTGACTGACTCTGACTCTGATGGTTCAGGGTTAGCAGCATAGGGCTGAAGTCATGTTTTAAACTGATTTTACTCACTCTGTGACACACCAAAAGCAGACTCAGGTAATTGGTAGCTCCATAGTCCAAAACGTGGCACTAGGAATTCCAGGGACCATAGTCAATCGTCTTCCTGGGGCCAGAGCAGACTAAGGCTAAGTTTCAGTATGGTACGATTTTTATTCACATTGACAGCAACGATACCAGGTTACGCAAATCCGAAGTCACTAAAGTTAATGTTCCTTAGGTGTGTAACTTTGCCAAAATCATGTTGGACCCCTGTAGTTTTCTCAAACCAGGGTACTAACAATCAATTGTTAAGCTGATGGTCCTCCTCTATCATGTGAACAACTAGTTTTGGCTATCACCAGCAAACTGGTTGATGCACTATGCTGAGTGCTATTTAAAAGACTGATTTTAGTGCATCTCCTCAAACTGACCAAGTCTTTTGGATTAAAGATGAAACATTTTAACAAGTACTTTTTTATTATTATTATTTTTACTCCGCCTGGAGGACCTGACTTAACTTTCTTAGATTTTTCTACCTGGATTATTGAACATGAATCAGGATAATGTGTCTTTGTTGCAGAACACACGGTGAAGATTTCTGGGGATGACGGTGAGCTTTCATTCTTCTTCGATGGTGAAACATGTCACTGAAAACATTCGAAATGGATCTAAGTAATTTGCAGCCATCAGAATAAACCAAGTCTGGCCAAATGTTGTGTCCCAATGTCACCACAGTGGCTCTGATCTGGAGTCTTACAGGGGGGTTCTTACCAGACTTGGCTCCATCCGGCGGCAGCATGCCACAGATCAGAGCCAGCGCCTCGTCTCCCAGCATGCAGTCTCCCAGATCCAGACAAACCAGGGCCGGGTGGGTGGACAGAGCTGGGTTCAAGGTTACCAGGCCTGCGTCCAGTAGTGGGCTACCATGAAGGCTAATGGGGTGGGGCCAGAGCATCATTAACCAATCATATAACTTATTCTGTCAGCCAATCTGAATTCAGTCTACTCACAACAGGGTCTGCAGAGACCGGTTGGTCTTCAGAGCGTCTGCCAGGTGACGTGTGCGGCTGATGCTAGAGACCACACCCAGATTCAGGTTGAGTTGAGCCAGAGAGTGCGACTCGGCAACGCTGCGGCAGACCCGTCCAAAGTCCCGGTCTGACAGCTGACAGCCACGAACAGACAACAGGCGGACGCCATCCTCGTTTAGACTCTCACAGATGTCCTGAACCTCGGCCGCCGACAACATCTCCCCAGTGATCTGGATGGAGGCCGGCAGCATCTGGCCACTGTTTGTGGGGCTGGAACAACTGGGAAGACTGGGGGGACTAGGAGGACTGGGTGTACTGGGAGGACCAGGAGGACTGGGGGTACTGGGAGGACCAGGAGGACTGGGGGTACTGGAAGGACAAGGAGGACTCGGGGTACTGGAAGCAACAAGAAAACAAACAGTCAAGCTTTCTGATTGTTGCCCGTGTCTTTGAGTCTTTTCTGGTTGTTCTCAACTCTGGACTCTGGACTCAAGTCCCTGAACTTGAAATTCTAGATTCTGAACCTCAAACTCTGGACTTTAGCTCTACTCTGAACTTTGAACACTAAACTCTGGGTTCTGACACTGATGGACTTCCCAATTTTTTAAATATATTTTTAAAGTAAATCAAAACACCATAAGCAGAGAATCAAAAACACCAAGTCCTGAACATAGAGCAGGTCCAGATCATCAAGTCCTGAATCTAAAACAGGTCCAAACTACCAAGTCCAGAATCTAGAACCGTTACAGACCATCCAGGTCTGAATCTAGAAAAGGTCCAGACCATCAAGTCCTGAATAAAGAACAAGTCCAGACGATCATGTCCTGAATCTAGAACAAGTTCACACCATGAAGTCCTGAATCTAGATAGAACAAGTCCAGAACATCAAGTCCTGAATATAGAGCTGGTCCAGACCATTGAGTCCTGAATCTAGAAGAGGTCCAGACCATTAAGTCCTGAATCTAGAAGAGGTCCAGACCATCACGTCCTGAGTCTAGACCAAGTCCAGACCATCAAGTCCTTAATCTAGAACAGGTCCACAACATCAAGTCCTGAATCTAGAACAGGTTCAGAACATCAATTCTTGAATCTAGAACAGGTTCAGACCATCAAGTCCTGAATCTAGAACATGTCCAGACCATCAAGTCCTGAATCTAGAACAGGTCCAGACCATCAAGTCCTGAATCTAGAACAAGTCCAGACCATCAAGTCCTGAATCTAGAACAGGCTCAGAACATCAAGTCCAGAATCTAGAACAGGTCCATACCACCAAGTCTTGAATGTAGAACAAGTCCAGACCATCAAGTCCTGAATTTAGAACAGGTTGAGTTCATCAAGTGAATCTAGAACAGGTCCAGACCATTAAGTCTTGAATCTAGAACAGGTACAGACCATCATGTCCTGAATCTAGAACAAGACCAGACCATCAAGTCCTGAATCCAGAACGAGTCCAGACCATCAAGTCCTGAATCTACAACAGTACTGATCATGAAAAAAATTTTGATCAAAATTTATCAATGATTCTATAGGTCAATGGATCAATCAGATGATCAATAGCAGACACATCCAAGGAAAACATATAAAAAATAATCAGGAAAACATATAAAAAATAATCAATCAACTGATTGGTGTTATAGAAAGTAACAAAATCACCATAGAAGTGATCTATCAGCTCATGCGGGGAGATGTCCACACTTTCACGCTGTGACGTCACACTTTCATAATGCCGCCGAAGGCCACGCACCGGTTTTGATCTGAAGTAATGGGTCTCGATAGGTGTATTGATTGATTGTTCCGTTTGATTGGCGGTAGAGAGGAAGGCTTCGCCCTGCAGCCGGACTAGACGCCTGCCTGTGAGTCCAGGAGATCCCAGAGTCCCGGTCCGGTCCCGGTGTGTTTCTGCAGGTGAGCGTTACTACGAGAAACGCAGAGAGAAGAGCACGCGAAGAGATCTCACTCTGATCCGTTTACCGAGACACACAACAGGTAGCCCCGAGAACACGTAGGTTGTGTTGTGACATATGGTTTGACTGAGACTGAGACATGGACCAAAAGACAGGAGACAGAACTAGAAGTAGCAGAAATTAAGTTTCTGATGTTGAGGTTCTCCTTAGGGGTGATAAGGATGGAGAAGATTAGGAATGAGATCATCAGAGGTACAGGTTGAACATCTGGGAGTGAGAGGACAGACAGATGGTTTGGACATGTCCAGAGGAGGGACAGTGACTTAGACATGTCCAGAGGAGGGACAGTGGTTTGGACATGTCCGGAGGAGAGACAGTGGGTACACTGGTTGAAAGATGTTAGAAATGCAGCTACCAGGAAAAAGACATGAGGAGCTACTGTAGTTGAGAGGACATGAAGGTAGTAGTAGGACGGAGGACAAGAGTGAGATGGGGAAGACTCGATCTGGAGATCCCTGAAGAATGAGCAGCCGAAAGAATATTAAATTTGCATAAGAAGTAAATTAAAAGAAAATTATTATAGTATAGTGATTTATGAAAAGACAGTGAAAGAAACATCATCGGAGTCAGACCTCTTCCACAATAGAAAGTTATATCCGCTATGACGTAACATCCTCTTTGATTCCCGTCGTCATGGAAACCAAAAGTCCCAGTTTCGTTTTAGTAAATTAAATGATCTATTAATGACTTTAATTATTTACTGAGAGTTACTGATCGGTCAATTAGGATTTGTTTTCATAAAAGCACTCCGCTCAATAAAAACAACCTCCGGCTCTGCTTCCGGCTCTGAATGTCACAATAAAAGCGAGGTAATAATTTAATCATTTTTGTTTTAATATATATTGATCGAAAAAAAGCGTGGTGTTTCTGTTTATCTTTATCTTTAATGAAGCACCGTAGAACTTAAAAGTGTATATGTCAGTAAAACGTGCTTTGCTCTAGATATCCTTTTTATTGTGAAGCGTCTGACGGAAGTGTCTGACAAACAGCTGCAGCTAACAGCGGCTAACAGCTAACAGTGGACAGAAGGACAGGCAGACAGGTAAGACAGTTCACCTGTGAAGAGGAACACTTTCTGTCTCTCACACACACAAACAGCGGACTGTCATACAAACGGAAAGCTGAAGCACACACAGCAGTTAGCTGCGTTAGCTTAGCCGCTCAACTGTTCATCGTTAGCGTCAGCAGGTGACCAGGCTCGGTCCCAGTGTTCGGTTCTCAGATGTAGACCACAACCGAACAGGAATTATAATTAGTTTTTAGCTTTGGAAATGCTGAACCGGTTCTGGTAAAGTCCAACTGACCTGCAGAACTCCCGACAGTTCAGTTACCAGACGTGGCACCAATGGGTCAGGTGGAAATACGTCGGACTGATCTGTAAACAAAAACTAACGAAACAACATGTCTGACCGGAATTAATCAATAACCTGTCTGACCAAAACAACAACAACATGTCTGGCCAGAGCCTTCATTTCCACGTCGCTGGAAGTCTCTACTGTCCTTTGACAAGTTAGATCTGTGCGTGTCCCCCAGTGTCTTCCATGTCCCCTCAGATTTCTATTCATTTCAGTTTATTTCTGTAGCTCCAAGTTCCAACAGTTGTCTCAGGGCCCTGAACAGAAACATTCACATGCATAAAAAGCCTATTAGTAAAAGTTATCTATCTAAGGTACTTGTCCCCTCAGATCTCTTGTGTCCCTTCATGTCCCCTCAGATCTGTCTCTGTGGATGGAAGTGTGTAGTCCAGCGATGGGACCAGAGAGAATCTTGCCAAGCTCTGAGGACGAGCTGGGGGAGGACGAGCGTCCTGTGGACGGAGCTGTGCTGCCAGCGGGAGCGGTGTGGGTTGGGGGTGAGGAGGGGGAAGAGCTGGATGGAGAGGACGAGGAGGAGGTGAGCGGTGGGGGGTATTATTACCAGCCTCTAAACCAAGATCCAGAGGGTCCAAACAGCAGCCAGCAGGACGAAGACGAGAACACGGGGGAGGTGTCCCACTCAGAGCAGCTGCAGCATGTGCAGCACAGGATACAGGTGAGTTCTGCCCGGCAACAAGACACATTCTGGCTGAAGAAGGGGTGGAGTCTTACCTGTCTGTCCCTGCAGTTCATGCGTCTGCACCTCCCTGAGGCGCCGCCTCCAGACAGCGATGAGGAGGAGGACCCAGAGGGGGCAGCAGCCCAGAGGAGCCGAGCCTCCATCCCCATGGATGCAGGTGAGACGTCCACCTGGCTGCATCTGTCCCCCCCTTCACTTTCACACATCAGTTCTTTTTTCCATCTTTAGAACCTAATCTGGTCCTCAGGTCTTTGTTGTCCTTTCAAAGATCCAGACTTTCCTGTCATCCTAAAGTGGTCTAAATCAACGGTTCTCGAGACCTTCTGAGAAGCTTTCACAAGTCTTTTTGGACTTGGGCTGCCTCTTTTTCTCTTCATCACTGGTGTCACTTTTTGTGACTGACTCCACTTCCTGTCCTTTCAGATCACGTGGAGCTGGTAAAGAGGACGATGGCCGGCGTGGCGCTGCCGTCTCTCAGCGTTCCGCCGTGGGCTCGGGAGATTTCTGAGGACCAGTGGACGGACATGGTCCAACACACGCTTCAGAACCGACAGAGTTCTGCCGAGCTGAGGCTGCCACGCTGGAGCAACGTCCAGGGACCATGACTGCTCCAGGACCACAGAACTTAAATACACCACAAACTTAGATACTACAGTCCCTGAATGCACCATGACCACATAAACAATTAATCAGCTATCCTTTCATAATACCTACAGACACTGAACACATCACAGGGTCACCTGTCCCTGAATGTACCACGTCAGCTAAAACATCAATCTGAGCTGTCCTTACCGGCCCTGAACACACCGTCAGGTAACTCCTATCCTGGGCTGTAGTTTGGACCAATAAAAATTATTAATCTGTAACCATTAAAAGTGTTTGGTGCTAACTGGTCCGAGTCATCAGAAGATGTTGGTCTGATGGAACTGTTCTCCCGGACCTGGTTCTAATCTAAGTGTAGACAAACAGAACCTAAGGGACAATCTGAATGAGACAAAGGGACGAACGGGTCAGATAGTTCTGGTTTTATTGGTTCTGTACAGACATGAACATTTGTATAAAATCATTCCATGTGATGCTCTGATTAAACATCTCTACACGACAGGAAGCAGTGACCATCTTGTTGTGTCATGTGACCAAAGCTCAGCCCACGCTGGACATATTCAGGTAAAGCAGGTGATGGGGCGGGGCTTCCACAACAAAGGGAATGTTGATTGACAGCTTATTCTCTGAAGGAAACCCCTACTCCACAACTAGAAGAGCAACAATAAATAAACAAGCAGAAGAGTTGTCTGTGGACACTCCACATGGCCTGTGGAGTGTCAACAAGCCCCGCCCACATCCGAGAGGAGACAAAATAAAATCAAGTGACAGAAATGACCGAGTCTCATTTGATGAGAAACTGCTCATTAAAGATGTGAGTTGAAACATTTTTCTGGTACCTTTTAAAGCTTCAACGAACCAATCAGACGGCGATCTGAGGGTCACATGGTTCTGTGGTCGTGAATTAAACATTTTCCAGGATTATCAGATGTCAGAACGGCTCTGATTGGTTGGTTGACATCATGATTCTTAAACTCTGCGGTCATTTGTAGCTTCACACAAACCTGAAGGTCAGATCCATTTTAACCCTGATAAAAGCCTCACACAGGTAAGCACTGAGAAGTCCTGCCCCCTCACCTGCTGTAGGTGGTGGACAAGATTCTCATTCAAAGTCTACATTCACTTGTCATCTGTCTCCAATGCTGACAGCTGATTGGTTGACACGGATAGAGGGTGGAGCTACAGACCTGTGATTTGTTTACGTGCAGCAGGACTCTGGAGTTTTCCACGGCAGGAGACCTGAACTCCTTTCTGACGGTGCGTTCAAGGAACATTTACAACATGAATGGGCCAACGTCAGAAAAACAGACGAGGTGAGGAAGGGTCAGGCAGGTCTGGGCTCCTCACCTGTCGCTGCAGGTAAACCGTGCTAATGTCATCAGTTAAAGACATTGTGTTTTCTTCTTAAGGCATCCATAAAACTCTTCAGGTTCTCGGGGGCCAGAGCCCAGATGGTCAAACTCTTTCATTGGACAACGCTGCTGGTGATGCGTTCAGGTGTCGGACGGGTCTGTAAACAGCCGTGGTGATGTCCAGAGGATGGCAGGTGGAGGTGTTGAGGGGGCGTGTCATGAAGCTGATGTCTAATCACAGTGGACACATGTTGGACAGCACGTGGACAGACGGAGCTTCTATGGTGTCCCACTTCATTCCAACACCTGGAGGTGGAGCTGAGCTTCTTGTTCCAGTTTCAGCTCCGTCCTCTGACTCTTTCCTACCTTCGGAGGCAGACTGGGTGGTGGAGCCAGGTTCAGGGGGGAAGGGCACCTCCCCTGGTCAGAGAGCCTCCTGGTTGGCTGTAAGGTACTCCTCGGCTCTCTTGTGAGCTTCCAGGGCTTTGATGGTGTAGACGTCCTGCGGCAGCTCCGACTTCCTCCTCATCAGGACTTTGTCCTTCTTCAGATCCTTTAGACCCTAAAACCACAGAGGTCAGACCAGGACAACTGATTTAAATAGTTGTTTCGTCACAGCTGGCACCTCAGGCTGTAAATGTTGACAGGTGAAATGTGCGGTACCTGTGAGGCTTCAGTCTCCACGGTTTTCTTCAGCAGCTGGATGTCCTCAGCTGTAGGAGTCTCTGTCTCCATGGAGTAAACCGCCACGCTGCTGTCGCTGTACAACAGGTACTATAAACACAACAACGTGTCACACAGAAGCATTCGCAACACACACACACACACACACACACACACACACACACACACACACACA